AAGTAACATACCAGACAAATTAGAACAGAAAACTCACTATATTTCTTCAATTAACCAGACAATAAAGGAGAAAAAAATTACAATCTCATGGATGCATAAAACCTTCAGAAAAGAAGATGTAAAAGTCCCAACTTAGAAAGAAACAATATTGCTGTCATGTTGGGTTAATGGAGCTAAACCCAAGCGCAGAACACCACGGAGACAGGGTTAAAAGTTCAACAGTTTATTTTAAAGAAACACAATTCAGGTGATAGTACTGATACTGGTACAGGTCCGGGGCTGGATTCACAGGGATCTCTGATGTGGTTCAGGCTGAGAGAGGAAGCCAGAGGAGTCCAGGGGTAGAGGGATTAGCAGAGGGCTAGGCAGCAGCAGGGCTAGGCTTCTGACTAGCTGAGACTCAGTCCTTGAGTTGCTCTAAGTTCTCACCTAGAGAACAGGCAGGCAGATTCAGGCTGTAGATCTCCTGGTTGGCTACCAAGAGCAGGAAGGCAGGTTTCTGATGATGAGCTCCTGAGATGCGGTAGGCAGATTTCAACAAGGGAGACTTCCAGAGTCCCAGGGTTCAGTCAGGTTTCTTCCGTGATTAACAAACACTCTGGTGTCGTAGTGTTGTCCACAGTCCACTTAAATACTGGTCCCCTGATGAGCAGATGAGAATCAGCTGGTGAAGACAGCTCCAGGTTCAGGAGATCCAGTACACCGTCTAGTGGAGGAAGGTAGACAGCACTCCAGAACCAAACAGAAAAACAAACAATCAGGAAGGGATCCTCGGCGCCCTCTGGTAGGCAAGCCTTTGGATCCCAACAGTTGCTTTCATCTGCTGACCGTTACCTGTGAACTTACGAGTTGTTGCCTGGTAGCCTAGTTTTATAAACTATTATAGGATGCTAATGCGTTCAAAGTGTTTAGAAACAAACAAGCAAAAAAAAAATCAGGCAAGTATGTTTGAATATAACTGACTCCAGCGTGTTTGACCATCCAGTGACAGACCCGATTCAGTGGCGCATCATATGTTTGTGAACAATGTCACGATGCAGACACAGACAGAACACAGACAATCATCGAGCACTAGGACCAATCGGGAAACCAAGGAAAAAAAAAACAATCTATGAATGTGATTTTATAAATCCAATTATCCATAATAATTGTAAAACTTTGTGTTTTTACTCCAGATGGATTGTTGGA